GATGATTCTTCAGAAATTGTACAAGTCTTAAAGGCAAGCCTTGAGCAACGCCAAAAAAATGAGGACCTGTTAGATAAAGACGAGGACCGACATTTCCTTCTTTCGCTTCTGGCAGATTTCAACAGAGTGCCAATTGAGAAAAAGCTGGATGTGAAATTGGCAATCATTCAGGCAATAAAGTCAGCCATTTTGCCCACTCATGGTGCTGCTGTTCCACATACGCCTTATTTTTCAGAAACTTATCCTATGCATCCTTCAGCTTTTTTTTATACCTCCACAACCGTATTCTAATATTCCACAACATTTTAATCAAATACCACAATCGCCACACACCTTTCAACAAAATAATCAAATATTACAGTCACAACACACTCAAAAAATTTATCAAATGCCGCCATCACCACATACCTCTCAAGAAATTAATCAAATACCACACACCTCTCAACAAATTAATCAAACACCACAATCACCCCACACCTCTCAACAAATTAATCAAATACCACAATCACCACAAACCTCTCAACAAAATAATCCAATACCACAATCATCTCACACCTCTCAACAAAATTATCAATTACCACAGTTTCCAAGTACACAACACAACTTAAAACAAAAAATCCTTACTCCTCTCCAATCTCCCTTTTCTGTAGTATCGAGTGACAATATGTCAACAGATGGATCAATTGTGGACCTTCTTACGGAATACTAAGGTCACATAAAAATATATTATATAAATATAAATATATAAATAATATCAACTTTCTGTCTATTGCATTAAAACTATTTTTCATAAATAAAAGAAAAAGTCTTACGATTTGTTTTACTTACCTTAATGTTATAGATAACCGTTCTCTTGATTGAATACTTCTACGCATTGTAGTATCTTGCTTGGTTAATTCACTTTTTAAAATGTTGTGCAGCTCTTCAAATGATTGTGGAGACATTCGATAATAATTAAAAAACTTTGTAGTGTCTTGTAATAAATCTTGATGAAGTAAATTATATGTTCCCTTAGCTTCCCTTAATTCTACCATAGGATGAACCCACAGAGTTCGTCTTCTTTTAAGTTTTTTCTTTTTATTAGATATATACCATAACATAACGTACTCTTCAATATTCATGATAACGACTGCACCGCACTGAAGCTTGTTAGAAATGTGTAATAAAGTATCCCAGAAGTATCGGGGTAGTATGCGGCTGTGATTCGGTATTTCGCATACAGAATCCCGCATACAGTATCCTCGTCTGAAAGGCCTCTAAAATTTGAAACCTCCAAAGTGTTACTTATTAATACGTGTCCAGGCAATCACGCAAAGGTCAACGAAAGGAAACGCATTTGAGTATTAATTATGCAAACCACAAAAAGAGACATTTACTCTGTGACAAAGATCGAATATATTGTTTCACAGGAAAGTACAATTGGGATAGAAATTAACCTACTTCGTAGAACTGTACCTATTTATTGCATTTCCCAAGAACTGGTATAATATTTAATTTAAATGCTTTATTATTTCTTTAATATACCTATTATTTATTTTATATACCTACCACCTACCTACATTACAATGTTATTAAATTTAATATAAAAATACCTACAAGATATGGTATTTTAATCCAGCAAAGGGATTACAATAATTAAAATGTGTTTACTGCATCTACCAAGAACTGTGCAGATAAATCAATACAGTGGAGTATTTGTCTGTTACACGGCTTCCATTGCAACACTTGTTACAAAAACTAGATTGGCACACGAAAGGTCCTTATTTGTATTCAATGTAAGAGCTGCACAGAAATATGCAATTTTTCGACCAATCTAACTCATCTTTGTTTCGGGGTCTAGTAATATTTTTTTTTAATCCTACTGATTTTTTTTGCATTATAAGAGTATCAATATGTATATACTGACCACTAGTCCTACGTAAAATATAGTTTTTCTTTTTTAATTTTTAAGTCCCAGGAGCCCGGCTAAAAAATATTTATCCTATAAATATTTTTTTCTCTAGCATTATAATTCCCAAAAAAACTTTTTTTGTCTTTTTCTGCCAACGGTTTTATCGACTATTATCAACCTAACGTTTTTTCATGTAATGTATTTGTTAAGAAAAAACAGAATTTTGTTTTTGAAAAATTACAATTATTTCTATAAGTTATACGAAATTGTCTTATTTTAAACAGGTTTAGCTTAATACGATCCTGCCTGTTAATACTTTATCAGAGTGTTCACGTGATATGGTCGTGTTTTTATTTAGGGGTTACTTGCGTTTAAGTTGAATATAGTATAGATTAAAACACGGTGCAACCCAACTTGCCATTTTAATTTCTGATTAAAATATAATCCGGAGTTAAAAACTTCGGCGCACTCGGCTGTAACAATGTCATTTTAATCTTCGGTTAGTAATTTAAACTTCGTTTAACACAACGGTGAAATCGGTCCTTAGCTACTAGCTATATATTGATAGTGTTATTGCCCTCATAATGGATAAATCGTGCTAACAAATGAAGTAAAAAACGTTTCATAATTTTTCTTTTTTTAGTTACCAAAATTAGGTACTACAATACAAATATTTAAGTCTGGCCCTCCTCTCCCTACTCCTTTCACCCAGTTTTTCGGTTTTGGCAAAATTCGCGCAGCTGCAAATGCTTCCTATGTTACCTCTACCCTTTCTAACCTCTTTGGGCATAACCAAAGACGGCCCAGTTATTTACCACTGTGTGTTATCAAATGCGTTTGTAAGGTAGATTTATGTTTAAATCCTTTATAACAAATGTTACACTTAAATGATTTTTCATCGCTGTGAGTTATCAAATGTATCCGTAGGTTAGATTTACGATTAAATCCTTTGCAACAAACGTCACACTTAAATGGCTTGTCACCACTGTGAATTAATAAATGCGTCCGTAAGGTTGATTTTTGATTAAATTCTTTCGAACAAAAGTCACACTTGAATGGTTTTTCATTACTGTGAATAATTAAATGTGCCTGTAAGTTGCAGTTTCGAATAAATTGTTTAGAACAAATATCACACTTGAATGGATTTTCACTACTGTGAATTATTAAATGACTCTTTAAGGAAGATTTATGATAAAAACGTTTGGAACAAATATCGCAAATGAATGGCTTTTCTTTATCGTGAATTACTAAATGCGTCTGTAAGTTAGATTTTTGATTAAATTCTTTAGAACAAATATCACACTTGAATGGTTTTTTCTCACTGTGTGTTATCAAGTGTGCTTGTAAATGATGTTTTCGATTAAATCCTTCAAAACAAATGTCACACTTAAACGGTTTTTCACTACTGTGAATTATTAAGTGATTATTTAAAGAAGATTTATAATAAAAACGTTTAAAACAAATGTCACACGTAAATGGTTTTTCACTACCGTGAATTATTAAATGTGCCTGTAAGTTAGATTTCTGATTAAATGCTTTAGAACAAATGTCACACTTAAATAATTTTTCATAACTATGAAAAATTAAATGTTCCTGTAAATTAGATTTACGATTAAATTCTTTAGAACAAATGTTACACGTCAATGGTTCTTCACTGGTATGAATTACTAAATGTCTCTGCAAGAGACTTCTTCTATTAAATCCTTTAGAACAAATATCACACATGAATGGTTTTTCACTATTGTGAATTATTAAATGTCTCTGAAAGGCAGATTTATAACTAAAACATTTAGAACAAATATCACACTTGTATGGTTTTTCACTACTGTGAATTACTAAATGTCTCTTAAAGGCAGATTTATGATTAAACCCTTTGGAACAAATATTGCAATTAAATGGTTTTTCACTACTATGAATAGTTAAATGTGCCTGTAAGTAAGATTTTTGATTAAATCCTTTGGAACAAATATTACACTTAAATAGTTTTTCATCAGTGTGAATTATTAAATGTCTCTCTAAATGATATTTTTGATTAAATTCTTTAGAACAAATATCACACTTGAATGGTTTTTTAATACTAGGAATTATTAAATGTTTTCCTCCTTTGATCAGTCTAGAAGGATGACCGTCAATGTGATTCTTAGTTCTATTTTTCACTAAATGAATATAAAAATGTTTTAAAAATTCAATTTTTTTCATAACTTTTCCACAAAACTGACAAACTTCGTAACGTTTCTTAAAATGTCCATCAATATGAGTTGATCTTGAAGTAGAAGAGGCGAAATCTGAAAACAAAAAAATATGATAGTTACGTGAAATAAATATTTAAAATTTCAAATATTCAAATCTCAAAGTGGTACGAAGTGATTACGAAGAAAAGAGAAATTCACAGAATCTGCCAACTAGTGGTGGAGAACTATCGATAGCACTATCGATAGTTTCGACTATCGAAGACTATCCATTATTTTATCATACTATCGATATTTAACGATATTTTTATATTTCCTTCGAAGACCGCGGACATTTATTATTTTATAATTTATTAATAAAAATAAAGCAAATTTGTCACAAATTATAACATAAACAAAATTATGCAAATTAAATTATTTATTACCTATGTCTCCATCTATAATTAAATAGCTGAAGTATAAGACGATACGATACAGTAGTTGTATTCTTTTTGCAGCAAATCTTAGCTAATCTTAGTTAACTGTCGTTGTCAATTGTCATATTTATGACAGATTGTATAAATATTCTGTCATAACTGACAATTGACAATGACAGTTAACTAAGTTAGCTAAGTTTTATTTAGTAAATAGAACATAACTAATATCAGAGTGCCGGTTTCAAACAACGTGTTTTCAGCAAATTCTCATAGAGGTCGCCCCATTATTTGCGTTAAGTGTGGTGTTGAGGACAATGAGGACCAAAAAAGATGCAAAAAGAAGAAGAATTGTTTATGGTTTGTGTCACTCACATGTCACATTTTGGGTGTATCTTGTGTGATTTACCAGACCAGCGTTATTTTCTACTGTTTTTTTATAAATTACTGTGTGTTTATTAAATAAAGACAATCTATAGATAGTGTTTTAAAGTAAATTTTGGTGATATGGATAAGTTTTTAATTTCAAAAAGGCTGAAAACCGCCACCACAAATGTTGATGAAGCCTCAACCAGCAACAAAGGTGGGTAAAAAAGTAAAAAAAAATAATTAAAATATAGTATTAAAAAAATATATTTTTTAGATTTGAATTTAGAACAGGCAAATCCTGACACAAATAGTAATAGTGGTGCTGAGGAGTCAGATGGAGCAAGTGCTACTAGTACTGCTAGTACTGCTAGTGAGAGTGTACTTTCAAGAAGCAATAAAAGAAAAAAAATGTCTACAGTATGGAAATACTTCAAAAAAAAATCGGATGATAAGAAATTTGCAAAGTGTTTAACCTGTTCCAAAGAATACAAAACAAGCGGCAATACCAGTAACCTCAAGGACCATCTGAAGCGATTTCATTTCTCCACATTTTCAGAAACTGGAGAAGTAAGTGATGATGCACAGGCTCCTCGCTCAAACTTTAGATCGGTAAGTCCGTTTTTTAAAAGAAAAATAGAATGTGATAATTCATCCCAAAAGAAAAAAGAATTTGACAGATCTCTAGCATCGTAAATGATGTGGGTTTTAAAAAATTTGTGAACCTCCTCGATCCAAAATATGTCTTACCAAGTAAGACTACATTAAGGGACACTATTCAAAAAAAATTATATTTAGAAGGAGTTACTAAATTGAAAGATATTCTAAAGAATATAGAATTCTTAGCAATAACCTCAGATTGCTGGACTTCACTAGCATCAGAATCTTATATATCAGTCACACGCCATTTTATTGATGAGAATTTTCAATTGAAAAATGCTATTTTGCATACAAAAAAATTAGATAGTAGGCACACTGGTGAAAATATCGCAAATGCATTGTCAGAAATTTTTACAGAATGGAACATTCAGAAAAAAATTAGCTGTTTCGTTACAGATAATGCCGCTAATGCATTAAAAATGTGTCAAATCTTGAAAATTAAAAATTTACCTTGTTTTGCACATAGTCTAAATTTAGTTGTTCAAGACAATTTACATATGCCAGTAGTAAAAGATACAATAAAGAAATGTAAAGAAATAGTTACATTTATTAAAAATAGCAACATTGCTGCAGACACTTTTCAAAAAGAGCAAGAAACATGTGATAAACAGTACAAATTGATTCAGGAGGTTAAAACTAGATGGAACAGTACCTTGTACATGCTAAAAAGAATAGTTGACACAGCAGATGCCCTTAATAGAACCTTATTAAAATCAAAAAAAGCTCCATCTCCAATTACAGCCGAAGAAATGATTATTTTAAAGGATCTTATAAAATGTTTGGACATATTTGAAGATGCCACCAATAAAGTTTCTGGAGCTACATATGTTACTGTGTCCCTTATTATTCCAATAACATTTGGAATATACTGCAACCTTACAGATTTAGTAAAGAATTTGTCATCAGAATAAGGAAAATCATTTGGTTTAAGTCTGATAGAATCGGTTAAACAAAGATTATTTCCATACGAAACACGAACAATACCAAGAATTGCTACTATACTCGACCCTAGGTTTAAAAAGGAAGGGTTCAGATCAACAGAAAATGCAAATCAAGCTGCAATATTCATGGAACAAGAAATGAATAGCATGATGAAATCAATTCCAATTCAAGAAAAGACTGGTAGGGAGGAGACAGCAGCAAAAAAGCTTATTTTCATTTATAGATCAGAAAATTGATGAAAAAGTAAAAAGTGCACAAGCGGATGTAATTATTCGGAAAAGGCAATATTTAGAACGAGGAAACTCACCTCAAGAGACGGATCCGCTTCTAGTATGGAAGGTAATTTTGCTTTTTAAAAAGTAATAAGAAATATTTTTGAGCATAAAAAACTATCAATCATCAAACTATTAAACATACCTCTATTTGTTCAAAACAATTTATATTAAGTAAATTATTTTGTAGGTTAATGGTGAACTGTCACCTATTCCAGGATTAAGTAAAAAATACTTGTGCATACCAGCAACATCAACGGAGTCTGAGAGAATATTCAGCAAAACTGCAATGTTAATCTCAGAAAGACGCTCAAGACTAAAGTCAAAAAATGTGGACATGTTAGTCTTTCTTAACAAAAATCAATGGAGTTTAAAAAACTAACTAAAGTTTTATATTTTTAAAAATGTTTAATTTTGCGATTTTAAGAAAATTTTGTTAATTTTTTACTTACTTTTAAAATATTGTTTTATAATTGTTTCTTTCTTTAAAATATTGTTGTTTTATAATTATGTTTCTTTATTTCTGCGTTTTTTTTTCTTTTTGAATCTTAAATAATACTAATATACGACAAAAAGTCTTTGCCTTATTTAAAAAACAATAAACCCAAATTTCTAGGTTATGTTTTATATTTTTCCTAGTAGTTTTAACACTATCGAAAACTATCGATAGTTATCGATAGTCGCGGTTCTGACTATCGATAATTATCGATGGTGGTGACTATCGATAGTTCTCCACCACTACTGCCAACTACTGAGAACTTATAAGGTCAGTTTCAGGCAAAGAATGAAAATATGGGCGTTTATCTATTAACTCTTTGTCTCAAACCGATATTATATAAAAAGTATATAGTTTATGTGTTTGTAGTTAATTATTTTTCGCTGTTGTCTTATATGATTATTAGGATGGAGCGAATTTTCCATTTCTAGAAATTTAACCAACTTGTATGCTTAATAGGTGCCTATTGTACTCGTTAGTAATTCAAAAAACTGAACGTCAGAAAACAATATCTTCGGCTGCCGAAATCATCTTAAAATTTCGATAATTAACATATATTTTTTTACGCGCTCACGGACAAAGCGGCATATGCCGCTCTGCCTGCTGGGGCAAAGCGTGGTATCCCATCCAGGTTTGCTGCTCGCTGAAACACAAAATCCCATTCAGGCATCTTAACAAAAAATATAAATCATTGTGAACTGACCCTGTAGTTTATTTTAGGTTGAAAAATCATATGGTGAGCTTGTTGTTTGTGTCGGAAAAAAAGCTTTTTTCTTGATTTTGTTTGGTTTTATAATACTGGCCAACAAAATTACACTTTTTGACTGATGAATGACTTATGTCACATGATTTTAACTAAATTTAAGTCGCTGATTCTAAATATACCCCCACCTTTTTTCTGACGCGTCCCATTGAGTTACTTTTGTACGCTTCTGCGCCGTTGGTCCCAGAAAAGCACGCGTAAACAGTGACGAAGATAAGTGTTTGGTATTAATTTTTTGTTGTTTGGGTGGGTTCAGGCAATATAGAAATTTTACAGCAATATAAAATAAGCAAAACAATCGCACTGGTTTATGCATAACGTAAAAAACAAATAGGAAATGAATAATAAGTAATGTTTTGTTTTTCTTTTCGTAAAGCTAAGTACCTAACAGAAAAAAGAAGTAAAGCTGTTAGCAGAGGATTTCGGGCAGATGTCGGAAGAATCTGATCCTTTTTCAAAGCCTTTTCCGAACTGGGATAGCGGCGATCCATCATTCAAGTATGACAGATATGGATAATTCATCGTCATAAACGTCGACAAAATAAGAACCTTTTTGACCAAAAAGCAAAAATCTGCTCCAAATATTTCAAGCTTACCTTTTAGTTCTGCCACATGTACAGTTGCAACCTTTAGATTCTACAGAATTATCGGAAATAAATTCACAACCGAATATACAGTCGCAATCTTTGGAAACTGAAATATTATCTGAAACACATCCAACACCGAATGAAAGTGTTGTGACCAACGTGATTGTCAGCACACCTCCCTATATATTATATTTTTGCGTATACCTATTGTTATGTATTCTGCTTATCGAGTGTGATTCATTTAATTAGAAAATGTTATATTTCTGCTTTTTAGGTAAGATCGAATAAAAGAACCGATTTGTATTTTAGTCATACATACGCCGGCAGGCAAATACATTGTTTTGTTCAGAGTAAAATAAATCCGTTAATTAATTAATTCAGTCGTTTTGTTTTAAAACTTGCTGTAACATATCAGAAGTGCGGGATAACCTACGTGTTAAAAATGAGTGACAATAACGAATCTGATCATAGAAGTGACCAAAATTGTGACGAAAATTATAACAAACGAAAAAGCCACGAAAACATGAAACAAAAAAGAGAAAGAGTGCGGAAAAGATATTCGAGCTCGTCTAGTTCGACTAGTAGTAGTGACAGTGAATCGGATTACGTGTCCAGAAAATCCAAAAAGAAAAGAATCGAAGATATAATTGCCAAGAAAGTGCAAGCTGTTATCGGGCAAATGCAAATTCAGACAAATGATTCATCGACAAAAAATGTAGTAGTGCCGCAGCAATTGACGGGAAGCTCGGAAAATTTTTCCCATTGTGAGTTGGTGCCAAATTTTGACCCGGAAGCTGGCGATATTAACGCCATTACGTGGCTGAATAAAATTGAACAGTTGGCATTAATTTATAGCTGGACTGATCTAAAGAAATCATACTTTTTACAAACTAAGCTAGCCGGAATGGCCAAAATTTGGTACAATGGGCTGTTGGAATACAACAAAACCTGGGAAGAATGGAAAGAGGCTGTACTAAATGCATTTCCATCACACGCATATTTTGTTGACAATTTAAAGAAAATGCTCGATAGAAAGAAAACAACAAAGGAAAGTATGCTCCATTATTATTATTCAAAATGCATGCTTATCAGAAATTGTGACATCTCGGACACCAATGCGGTTTCTTGCATCATTGACGGTTTACCGGCGGAACATCAAGGCACCGCCAAATCAGCCAACTTTAAAACACCGGACGAACTTTTTCGTGGATTTTTGTGTAAATTGGACAAGGAGGGAGCCGAAAAAAATGACCCCAAAAGTCATTTTAAGAGGGACAACTTTAGAGACAACACCCAACTTTGCCTAATTTGCAAAAAACCGGGACACCAAGCCAGAAATTGTTTTTTTAAGGATAGCCATCATAAAGCTGGAGTGTCTTCAGACAGAGTCCACGACATAAATGTAAAGGAGTGCACGTACTGCAAGAAACGGGGCCATTTAAAAGAGGCTTGTTGGAATTTAAAGTCTGCAAAGGTGCATTTATTAAAAAGGTCAGTACAAAATAAAAATTTTCATTTCAATGTCTTAATTAATAACTTACCATGTCGAGCCTACTTGGACACAGGCAGTGAACTGAATGTGGCACGCTCTTCACTTTTAAATAAATTTCAAAATATCGTTTTAAAAACTTCAGATATTGTAGTCAGGGGTTTTGGTGGCGAATTTTTATTTCCGAAAGGGAAAACCGACTTAAAATTTACTTTCAACGAATTTTCTATAAAGTCCCAAGTACATTTTGTAGATTTTGATTTGGGTACCACAGAAATAATAGTGGGCCAGCCTATCATCAATCACAGAGATGTTTTATTAACAATACAGGGAAATTCTTTTCAAATACAAAAGTACACTCCAAAGACTAAAATTCCTATTAAGTTAAAAAGTGATGTACAAATCCAACCACATTCAGCTTTGTCTGCGCCCGTACAAATAGTCACAAATAGTATGTTATTATTTACTGCCACCACACAGAGTAACAAAAACGAAAACTATTCTATCCCTAGTTGTATAATTGATAAAAATCAAAACACAGTGGTAGTCATTAATAATAGTTCTCAAAAATTATGCATGCAGAAAGGCAAAATTTTGGGACGTGCCTTTCAAATTAATTTACCTAAAAATCACTCTGAAATATCACAAATTAAATCTGCTATGTCTTTAAATATTGCTGAAGTTAAACTCAACAAGGTAGTGCTAAGCGAAATGGAACAATCTCGCTTTTTCAAGCTATTGTCAACCTATGAAGACTGTTTTGCTAAAAGCACGGCTGAATTAGGCTTTACAGATTTAATTGAATTTGAAATAAAGTTGGAAAAACCGGAACCAATTTTTTATCGCCCATATCGGTATTCTGAGTGTGATAAAGCCATCATAAGATCAAAAGTTAAAGATCTTCTGGATAATAATATAATAAGACCCTCAAATTCTCCTTTTGCTAGTCCTGCTGTTCTTGTAAAAAAGAAAAATGGCGACCATCGTCTGTGTGTCGATTATCGCAAATTAAATTCGCAAACTACTAAGGATAGATATCCTTTAAATCATATAGAAGACCAAATAAATTGTCTGAGAGGAAAACAATATTTTACGAGTCTAGATCTGACCCAAGGCTATTATCAAATTAAAATGTCACCGGACTCTGTAAGCAAAACAGCCTTTGTGACCCAAGATGGTCAATTTGAGTTTTTGCGCATGCCATTTGGCGTCTCTAACGCACCAATAACATTTCAGCGACTAATAAACAATCTTTTTACCGAATTAAAAGATCAAATAAGTCTATATTTGGACGACATTTTGATTTCCTCTGATACAATTGAAAATGGTCTAAATACTTTAAAAAGAGTGTTGGAAATTTTA